TAATGTGCTCAGTTAATGGTCTCCTCTTCTCATTTGTCACTATAGGATATATCTCCGGCTCCAAGAGCAAGACTCAACAAGGGAGCCAATAATCCTTAATGCTTTTCTTACTGCTCCATAAAATGTTTCAATATCCAAGAAGAACTTTGCTTATATTGAAAAGGGGAGAAACACATCAAATCTTGAATGCAACTAAGTAACTACCCACAGCATTTTCAGGGCTTATTGCCCTTAAAAAGACAAAGAGCAGAATGTTAATATTGCACATTTCAAAGGCTGGACCTCAAATAAGGCAAGCACAAGGCACCAAAACCATCCCTATTCTTGCAGCAAGCTATTTATAATTATCCTTTCTATTCTTAGCTTTGCTCCACTTTGTACTTTTAACACAAATTAACATAGTGGTAAATGTAAGTACGAATTCCTGATTGCCTCTTCGTAGCGATCCACAGACTTGACAGTTTGAAGGCGATACCAGTTCAATCTCACAAAAACAATGAAAGAAATGGCAACTTGCATGTTAAGTATAAAACCCATAGTCTTACTTAGAGCATCATTTTAATTTTGCATATAAAAATACAGAAAAAAAAACCAAAAAAGGAAACGTGGAAAGACAAATAAGAAGAGCCCACAGGTCACTGCTGCTTAAACTTCCATGGAAAAAACACAAAGCTGACGTAATAGAAAAAAAAGGAAGAGAAAGGATAAATTATATTCCTGTGTCCAAAAGATGAGGTAGAGCAACTGCACTAATATGGCAAACGGGAGTGGAAAGTACCTAAGTGATTTTGGAGACCAAGCCTCACTAGCTCATGCTCCAGTTCGCTTAAGGCATGTGTTCAACACAGGGAAGCTCCGCCGGGCCGTGAACAGACTGGGATGAGCTGGTGCACAACCCTGCAACAGACACTCCTGAGACACGGTGAAACCCATTTACCTGTCTGCCTCACAACCTACGCGGAGTAAACTTGAAGAAATATAGAGTATCCACATCAGAAGTTGTAATGCCTAAAAAAATAACAATAAACACCACTTTTCACCTAAAAGTGGGAGTGGTTATTCTGATATGACCAGAGCCACGTCTAGAAACGCTACCGGTGAAACCTGTCTCCCTTTCCAATAACGTAGATGTTACTGACGTTCACTGGGGCTTCGGCTCCTAGGTCGCCTCGTTGCTCTTTGAGAACTACAACCTATGACCCCACCCGACGTGGCACGGGAGAGTCAAACCCCACCAACATCCCCAAGTGCCCTGACGGCTCCTGCACCGAGAAAAACTGCATATTTTTAGTACTGTCGGGTCTCAGGCGGACCGAGGGCGCTGGCCTTCCGTACGCTCCGGCCACATTCGCAATTTCGGGAGAATTTGCCCTTTCAAGTTATTAATACGTTGGAAGACGCCTCCCCCGGAGAAGCGTACGCGGAGGGCGGACGAGGCGATGACATTTTCAGATAACGGAGACGGGG